CTAGCTCTCTAGTTCTCTAACTCTTCACTGCTTGTGCTGGTTTCGGGCTGCCATAAAGTGAGAAGCTTTCTTCTGCTGTGCTCCTCTGCCTCGCAGAAAGCAGACCAGGGCTTGAAACCTCCGAAGTTGTGAGCTATCATAAACCCTTCCTCTTTCAGAGTGTATATATCAGGTTTTTTTGTCCCAGCAAACAAAAAGCTAATATATTTAAGGAACTTAACAACTCTTCAATTGATTTCAGCAGTTGTATTTTGTTACCACTTTGGTCTCTTCACGCTACTGAAGCCATCAGCAGGAAGGCTGTTCTACTGACTGAGAAAACTGATCCGAATTGCTAAGGGGAAACTTGAGTTCCTGTTGCACAATGAGGTGTGGATTTGACATTGCCTGGAATACAGGACATTGTCTGAAGTGCTACTTAATTCTTCCAGCCTACTGGTAAAGGAAATATGAAATTCTGGAACTGTACAAAAGATAAAGCACTAAATATGAACATTTCAAACATGAAAATTCACTCCAAAAAATAAACCTTGCCTGGTGAGGTTTTGTTTGAAGGAAAGAAAAATGTGGAATTGGCGCTGGAGGAAGTTATAAATATGACTTGCAATTACATTACCAGCTACAAAATCAAACACTGGGCAGCTTCTTCCTTTCCTGTGTCTCTTTATTGTTTTATGTAAGAATTAGAGGTGGTTGACGGGTGAGATTTACTGGATGTATAAACTATTTCTATTTGACAAGTAGAAATAAGTATCAAAGACAAAAAGAAATAAGTATCAAAGCTATTGCTCTGAGACAAATGTAAATTTTATGAGTCTGTCTCCTTGTTTAGAGGAAGGGTAACAGTTTCATTATTTGTATGGAGGATAAGTGCATCTTACTAGGCAAAAGCATAGTTGTGTCCAAATACATGCAGAGGGACATATACAGATCCTGAATGCCTTAGGGGCTGCTTAATCTTAGAATTAAATTACTGTCTCTCAGCTTTGTATGCCTAGTTCTGTACTTTGTTCCAGTTGATATGTCTGTTGGTGATAGTGTGGTATTCAAGCCCCCCAATATAAATGTGTTTGTGTGTGTGTGTGGTCTTTTATTTCTAGTAGTACTTATTTTATGAAGTGGGGTGTGATGGTGTTTGATTCACAAATGTTAATAGTTGCTATGTTTTCCTATGAGATTGTTCCTTTAACCAATCTGTGGTGGCATTTGCATCTTTTGATGAGGTGTAAGTTTGAAATCTACTTTGAATATTGGTTAGCTACATCTGCTGTTTTGGGGCTCCTGTTGCATGGAATTCTAGTCTCTGACTTTTAGTCTATGAGTTTTGTTTTGGGCTAATATGTTTCTGTATGTCGCATATCACTGGACTTGGTTTCTTAATCCATTCTGCCAATTTGCATCTTTTAACAGGGAGTTGAACTAGTAGGATTGATAATCATTACTGATAGGTAGTGACTTCTCCCCGATATTTCCCTGTTGGCCCATTGCTGATTCCATGTCTTTGTCTTCCGCTTAACAGACCACTCTACCTGGTATATTCATTCTTTTAAACCTTTGTAATTCACTTATCTTGTAGAATATTTTTCAGAATTTTTTAGAGCAGTCAAGTATTTATTTAGAGTGTTTTATCATGAAAATAGCTTACATCTCTCTCCATGTGGAAAGACAGTTTTGCAGCACGTTGTCAGTCTGAGTTGGGAATTGTTTTCTCTGAGGGTTAGAAACCCTTTACTCCACATTCTTCTGGCCTCTAAGGTTTGTGTTGAGAAGTCAGCTGCGATTCTAATGTGTTTTGCTGTGGAAGTGATGTGTGCTTTTTCCTGTTGCTCTTGGGGCTGGGGTTCTAACTCAGCGATGTAAGTGCCTGCCTGGCAAGTGCGAGGTCGTGAGTTTGATCCCTGGTACCTAAAATAGAATGCTGTTCTTTTGTTGGACTTTCAGAATTTTGAATATGCTGCATCACGGTAGAGTTCTTTTCTGATCATGGTTGTTTGAGGTTTCATATGCCTCACTTAGTAAGTTAAGTTCTTTCCCCTTGTATGGAAAGTTTTCTGGTTTTATTTCTGTAAACAATTTTTTAATGCTCCATGCTGTCTCCTAATTTTCCACTCATTCTGGTTCATATTAGATTGCCTCTCTTTGCCTCACCCTGGGGCTGTGGGCCCATCTCATTGGTTAGTCACCAACAACAGCCCTGCCTTCCAGTTCTGACATTGTCATCACATTGGTCACTTCTACTGCCTGTGCTTTGGATTAGATTTTTAATATCTCCTGGATTTCTATTTGGAGGTTTTTGTGTTCCCTAATCCTTTTCTATGCTAGTCATGTATGCTTTACTCACTTTATTTAGCTTTGCTGGCTTTTATTAATGTCCTCTGTAGACTTGCTTACCATTTTATTTTCCCTATATCTTTTTACTTTTTTCTGCTGTGAGCTTCACAAATACCTTATTGACCTGTCTTATTATCTCCCCTGATATCATTTCAAATAATTCGAATGCAGTGAGGGCACATGGCTTTTGATTTTCCCTTCCTTGCGCTGTGGATCAGGTTTGGCGTGGTTAGGAGTTTTGGAAGGCATTCTGTTGGCTTGTCTTCTCATGTTTTTACTTGTTTCTTTGTTTGTTTCCTGTGTTGAGGCTTGCAGGTTGTTTGTATTGAAAATTTTGTTTTTCATATGGAGACCTTTTTGGTTAATGTCTACTTTGAGTAGGGTCTTCTGGGTCAGTCTTTACCTCTGTCCCATGGTACAACCACCTCCATTTACTTAAGATGGGAGGTTGGGTTGACCCAGCATCCAGTTCTCCAGGAATGAGTCACAGCTATTGTTAATGACCCCAGAGCCATCCAGGTATTGGCACCCAGGAAAATCAATTAATCACATCGGCTATATCACCTTGGCTATAGGAATAAAACCACATCAATTATAACATCAAACGCAAACTGAATTTGGACAAGACCTAAGGACCATTAGTGTACCACTTTAACCATAGAAAAAAGATCTATAACTAGAGTATAAACACTAAAATAAATAAAATAGTGACTTACTATTAACCCATGGTAAATGTCTCCTAAATGAAACAACTGTACCTCTGTTAACAATAGAACACTATTTGACAGCAATAGCATAAATTTAACTAGTTATCTATCTAGAGATTTATAAAGCTTAGTGGTTGTGCTTAGTAAAGTAGGCAGGGTGGCGAACAGGAGAATGCAAAAAGCAAAATTTGAAAGATTAATGGGATATGAGGAGGAGGAAAGAAAAGTGAGATAGGAGATAAAGGAAATAAATAGTGTTAGTCGCAGGGAAGAACAGATAAGGAAAGGAAGAAAAAAGACAAACAGAGCAAAATACAGAAAAATAAAAGAAAGATAAGGAAAATTATGAAAAAAGAGAAAAAGGGAAAAAAGAAAAGTAAAAGCAAAGAAGAAAAACTTCAAATCTCCAAAACACTGATAAAAAAAGAAATTTAAAGAAAAGATTCAGTAAAGAAAAACATCCAGTGCTTTTGAATGAATTGTTTCTTTCCAAGCCCTGTAGTCCTGGAATTCAACCAGACAGGATTTCTTTCTGTCTGGCTTTAGGGGATACAGGCTTTTCAGCTGTCCTCCCTGGATGAAAGGTTCCTCTGTCCACTCACCCCGTACCATGGTTATGGCCTAGGCTGAGGCATGTTCCTGGTCCTCTGGTTGGTGGGAAACACAACCAAATCCTCTGTCTTTGATAGACACAGGCCATGGGGCAGGGATTGCAGGGTGCTGATGGAGTTAATGTTGGCAGTTATAGAGTCTGGCTGCTCCCTTCTCTTCCAGGCATTGTCCTTCTCCGGGATCAGGTCAGTTGGTTCGTCTTCACCTCTGCTGCCCTGTGCCAAGGGGAAACAAAACGTACAGCCAGCTTGCTTCCCTCTGGGGTGCATTGTGTCCAATATGGACACTTACGTGGAATATGTTCTTACATCACTGGTTTGTGTTAGTGGTGAGGGGACCACCATCTAGCACCTGCCTGCTTGCTTTGGGCATTGCTGTACATCGGACCCAGCCTTAATCCTTGTATCCTCCGTTTTTTAGGGTGCTAGAATTTATACACCACGGAAGTGCATGTGAAGTAGATGTGGTATGGAACAACGATATACTCACAAGGTAGCTGTCTATAAACGCTCCTGTCTAGAGGCTGGACTCAAATGACCTCCTCCACGCTGTGCTTCACAGGGAAAATATTTGTGCTGCTGCTTGTGGTCCAACCTTCTTGGAAGCACCCTCAGCAATTCTCAGTCTAGGGATTGATGATTCCCTATGAGTTTGGCAGGCAAGTTAAGGGCAGGCACTGTGACTAGAATTCCATTGATTTCCTCTTCTGCATCTTCAGCTCCCTCCCCTAAAGAGACTCATTCAAAAATGTAGAAATCTTTCCCTTCTTTGTGCCTATATGTGTCTGAACTTTCTCCTTGGTCTGGGAATAACATTCATGGACAAAACCCAAGAACACTTAATGATTTATTTTTATTTTGTCATATCTTTCCCTATAAGGACAGTGTCATATACTTGTATTTGAACTGGATTAAGAGATAGAAAGAGAGACAGAGAGAGAGAGAGAGACACAGAGAGAGAGACAGAGAGAGAGACAGAGAGAGAGACAGAAAGACAATGAGAGAGAGAAAGAGAGAGAGAGAGAGAGAATCTTGCCATAGAAAGACAAAAAGCAGAAAAGAGAGAAAGGAATTAGGTTTGATATGTAAGTATATTTTCTCACTTGGTTGGTGAAGGACTAGATTTTCTAACTACATGCAGGGTATATTGATCTTGTTGTCCAGGGTATTAATTTATTCGTTTATTTATTCATTTTGGATCACGACAGATACTCTAGAAAAGAGAGAGATTATTCTTTGACACACAGAAAGTGGAGACATGACTTTTTAGTTCTTTTTTAGGAGAGTCCTTGGGCAGAGGCTGACGCACAATGCCACCCAGATGGCAGAGCCGCGGAAGGGCTGCAGGCTTCTAAAGGCCTTCATTGCACAGGTCATAGCCCCGGCAGCAGCGGAAGCTCACCAGATAGGCACTCCACTTTATGTTTTCCACGTTAGCGCAGTTCTTTAAGCAGCCCATGAAAGTCAACCAGAGGCTGCCGTCCCCTGTAGAGGAGAGGAGACGGGTCAGCAAGCCTGGCCCAGAGGCTCCTGAGAATGACTTTCCCTCCAGCCCACTCCAGTGTCTAACTATGACCGTGTGGAGTGGAAGGTCTGTTACTAAAATGTGACGTCTTGGAAGATGGTACAAGTTGGAGGCTGCCCCCGCAAAAAGTGATGATGGAGCAGCAATTCAGAGACTGCCCGCGCTTGGGGTTCCTGTTGAGAATGTTCACAGAAATGCCAAGGGATTGGGCAGAACAGAGAGGGGACGCTAGAGAGATTATGAGGTCCAGCCTTACCTCTCAAGAGGCATTGACCGGTCATGCATTTCCAGCTTGGCACCATCCACATGGAAGTCCGGGCAGGCACAAAGACAAAATCAGCCTCCTTCTCCTTAGCAACTAGCTCTTCTCCGTGGGCACACATTAGACCTCTCCTCTCACCTTAGCTCAGTTTTCTTTGGGCTTCTCAGAAAATTGTCACCTTGGTTACACACTCCACCCCTCGTGACACCTTCCTCTTTTTCGCATAATGATATTACGATGTGAGATCAAGGTATCGGTCATCCCAAGCATAGAATCGAGTCCTCCTTTATCCCAGGGACCCCAGTGAGGGAGCAAAAAGCTCCCTCTACCCTGTCTTACTTTCCCAGCCCACATCTTACTTTTGAAAATATTCCCGACCATGCAGGCCTCTTGCAGTGTCGCCATGCATCTTCCTCTCCCTCTAGAACACTTTTCTCCAGAGAACTGTAGGTGACACATTCTGCATTGAATAATCTCCGTATCTTGGCCAGAGAAAGGGGAAACAGGAGGGAAGGAAGAGAGCATCAACATTCCCCTTTCAAAAACATCTGCTGCTGTGTACAGGGCTGAGACAGGCGGGTGACAGGAGCTGATGGCCTCAGGAGTTCAGCTTGAGAGGGCGAAGTTGAAAGACCCAAAGGAGGAGGAGCAGGGTGGAAAAAATCATCAAGAGCCAGAGGACCAAATGAGGTCCTTTGCATACTCACAAGCATTATCGTCATCAGAAACCGTCTGGGCTGTGCTGGAGAGGAGAAATAAACCCACGTTTGTCTGAGTCTACCCCTTCTGGAGGCCACTGACGTCTCTCTGCTCTCTCCCTGGAGCCCAGCTACATGTTTCTGACCCTTCAGCGCTTAATCCCGCACTCGTGGCACTTTGTAACTCTCCCCTCCTGCCTATTTTCTTCCCATTTCTTTAAATGCATGTTTGGATTTCTTATCCTTACCTCTCTGCATCTGTCATCCGGCAGTAGGGACAATTATCTGCAATTCACCAAGGTGTTGCGAGTTAGATTTAGACATCACGGTCTGCAGAGTAAACGTTTCACTTCTGCTCATTTGTTCTGGGAGTTTGTTTCTTACTGGTAGCCTAGGGGTTTGCTGCTGATATTATTTTGTTTTAATCCTAAAATCAGCCCCCGTGCCAGCTCTGTCCTGCTGGAAGGCGTTTCCGAGTTTTGAGGCTCAATGTCTATTTCTGGCTTTCTTTCAGCCCCCAAGGCCACCCCGCCCCTCTCATCCCCTCCTCTCTCCCATACATTTCTACTCACCTATGTTATGCTTTTCTCGAAGAAACCCAGGTACTACTGTGGGGGGAAAGGGAGAAAAGAAAGATACACTATCCAAAGACCTCCTTTTCCAAACCTCATCTCATAGCTTCTATAAAAATCCTCTCAAATGCTGTGCTGCTCACCTGTTTTCTTCTCTAAAGGGTCATTTGCTTTAGTTAAGGTCTCAGAGACCTAGCAGAGTATAGGTGGGAGGCTCGGCATAGAGTGACAGCCCATGGTGCATGTATTACCACAAAGGGCCTTGGTCATGGGAACTCTGACTCATTCCTGCCTGCTGGACACAGGTCACCAACTCCTGACCCTAGGGACTCACCCCTAAAACAGCAGAATAGGATGAAGGGTCCTAGCAGGAGGGACTTGTCCATTTTGGAGGGAGAGAAGACCAGATCAGGGCAAGAAGCTTCAAGAGTATCTATTTATACACCTTCAAGGCTGGACTTCCTCAGCCAGGGTTAGGGGTGGGGACTCAGTGAAGCCCTTGAAAAGGATACCCTGCTCCTAGGGAAATCAATGACTGTGTAACCTTTCTTCAAGGCAACTTGGGGAAAGACAGACTGGCTAGAAAAGTTCCGGATCTGGTTTATTCCATTTCTGCCTCTTGAGATTTTTGATGCCAAGGTTTATGGTGTTCCACATACTGTCACAGAAGAAAGGCTAAAGAGGGCAGGACTCGGTGTGATCTACATGCAGGTGACCACTAAAGCTGAGAAAATACATAAATACAAATGATTAGAATGCAGGCAAAAAATAAAAAACGACTGGGCACAGACCTTAAAAATAAATACTTTCTGGGAATGGAGGCGAGGAGTAGAAATGCTATGCTCAGAGGCCTTGAAGAGAACTTTCATGAAATTTTCTTCTGATGGTCACCTTGGAAGGAAGGGAACAGACCCCGAGGTAAGGCTGAGAAGGGAAGTGATTTCCTCCCTTGGTGCTTGTGGTCAGGCTTTTGCTAGAAGAAGAAAATTTAAGGCTGCATCTGGAGAACAACTTACCCTTCTCACTTGACATCAGGTCCGATTATTAGATAGGGAGCTGGCTGAGTGTAAATCTCCCAGGCAGGTGAAGTAGCCTGTAGATTTCAAGAAGAACCTTAGCCAATATGTCCTAAATTTTCTGCTAATTTTCTCTCATCTTTGCTCTGCCTTCTACAGACTCCTGGAAGAGTGCAGCTAAGTCTCTGCTCCCACCCCAAAGAACTAAGGGGACGAAAAGCAGAACAATTGGAAGGGGACAGGTGCCGTGGGGCACAGCGTAGCCTGTGGCCAAGTGGGAGCGTGGCCACGCCAGATGATGGCGAGACAGTAGAGACCAAGAAGTGATGAGCGGAAGGGGGTCCATGGCACCTTGTGGGTTGTTATTACACGCCAGCGGGACAAGCTGTCACCGCCAAGTAAGTATGGAGGGAGAAAGCTATTAACTAGTCTACTGCTTACCTGAGGGCACCTTCCACCCTGGGTAAGCTCTGGAGTGTCACTACTAAATATTCATACAGTACACACACCTGTGCACACGCATGCACACATTACATGTGCAATGCACACACACAGTGGCACTTACTTTTGTGTTATATGTGCTCTCTTCTCTTTTCTCTTACTAACCTGAAATTCGGCATCTTCTCTTGCATCTTTGCATCCCTTTCTCCTCTTTTCCTCTTGGGAATGTCATGTTTAATTCCTGGCAGCACTCAAGAAAGGAGGGAAAGTTCTCTTCCCTGTCTTTTCAAAAAATGTCACCAGATTGTCCTACCACTTTGCTTCTAGTCCAAATTTTCTTCCCCAGCTTTACCTACCTAGCTGGATTCTTTGCTTGTATTTGAGCTGTACTTTATTAACTTGCTTTTCTTGTAAAATTTCCCCCAAACTCTTACTCCATGTCTCAGTAACTGTAATATTTTATTTCTTTACTCTGGCATACTCTGATCCTCTTTTAAAAATGTTTTGGTTCTTTTTCTTATCACTTTCAGGCATTTGATAGTAATTTTTATCATAAATTTCACATTTTCAAATCAAAAGTATTCAGGAACCCATTCTCTCTATTATTTTGAGCTTTAATTCTGTAAGGCTCTTAATTCATGATGCGCGCCCCCAACACAGAATTGTCGAAAAGAGTAGTCTTTCTAAGAGCCATGAGGGATTTAGACATGATCCCGTGTGTAATTAGAGGACATGTGGATTCTGGGCTAGGGTCTTTCACGTGCATCTCCCACATAATCATTTAAGTCAATAAAAAAGGATAATTTTTAGATGGAAATTCATTTTCCAAAGAATTATTATTGTTTTAAAAGTAGTTCTATACATCACAGGTAACGCAGCAAAACCCACTGAATTTCATTGGTAATTAAAATGTTTTCACGTAATGAGCTTTTTGAATACATGACTCAAGGCTGGTGGCCAGTGGCAGGATATAAGGTGAGAGATCTCAGTGTAGGTGGACCCTCATGTGACAAGCAGGACAAACAAGAGGAGAATCACAGTTCCGTTCCAATGCAGCAGCAACTGACCGCAGAATTCTGGCGTTTCTCTGATAACCGCAGGCCTTGTACTGATGATCCAGAGGGGAAAGAACAGTTTCTTCTTCACTGGGGTTTGAGGTAATGATCAGATTAGAACGCCCTGTTGCTTCTTCTCTCGGACAAGTGAACAGAACAGATAAGACCTAGTGGAAACTAGAATTCACCCTCCCAGAGGGGATGAAAACAGAGAAAATATCTGGACAGTTTGTCCTGAGCATCTTACCTCAGCAAGGTGGCCTGTACTATTTCACTTGTGTGTGAGTGTATGGGGGGGCTTATATTGGTGAAATATAATATACCTGTCATAAACGGCATAAAACATAAGTTCATACCTCAAATTATTTTAAACTGTATAACTGCAAACCAAATCAGAGTACCAACCATTGGCCAAACCACAGAGAGCTCACTATGGTAAGTGCTCCTTTTTAACTATATCCCACTCTCTCACAGAAAGCATTATGCTTTATTTTGTGGAATATAACCATTGTTTTATTTTATAGTTGTACTACATTATATTTTGCTTGTTTTGAATACTGATATAAATGGACTAATATGGTGTACATTCTTTTTTTTTTTGTCTTTTTCGTTTTTACCGGTACCGGGGATCGAACTCACGACTGCCTGCTTGCAAGGCAGGCACTTATGCCGCTGAGCTAAGTCCCCAGCCCCTACGGTGTGCATTCTACATGTTGTTAATGGTATTGCTTTAATTTATTTCCTTTGCAATATAGTGTTTCTTTACAACAATAGTAGGGCTGAGACATGGGGCACATCAGCCCAGATGTTCAAGAAAATGCTCCAAATCTAAGCCCTCTGTTCCCCCAGCCACAGGCTTCCTGAACTGTGCACCTCCTCAGGGCTTCACTCTCAACTCCTGTAACCCCAAACTCCATAATCTTCCTTACAATTGATCCTCTTGCATGCACAGAGGCAAGTCGAGCTGTTGTTACTGAAACCAGATGACAAATAAGTGGTATCTTTGGATAAGCAGTGCCTTTGGTGCTTAGGAAGTTCTTGAAAATAACATCACCCCCAGATAGCAGAATGGTGCCCAAATTCATTGTCAGTTTCTACCAAGAAACAAATTAAAATGGAGCCTGAAAAGTACCAACAAGTTTGAGAAAATATAGATCAGTGTTGTCCACAGGCAGAACAATAAAGAAAAAAAGAGCTGGATGGGAGGAATTAGTGAATTGTTCAATATATGAAGAGCCTTGGATAAGTCAATACAAGTTGTAACTCCGTTCCATGGAGCTACTGCTCTGCCTATTACTAGAGACATACAGCATTTCAGACAAAGAGAAGGAGACTCTTTTTGGGTCTAGCTTCTCTCACTCAGCATAATGTTTTCATCCTAGAGAAAGGAAAATACACAAAAGTTTGGAAAAATGGCTCATAGTGGCTTTGTCATATCCCTAAACAACAAAAACTATCAACAACAAAAATGAACTCTTGAAACAGGTAATAGTTGGATGACTTTCAAGAATATTATGATGAATAAAAAAAATTTAATCCCCACATACTGGGTAACGGATTCCACTCATGTGATACCCCAGAGGGAGCAGTCAGACACTGCTCAGCAGGCTCTAGCATAACCAAGAGGGAGCGCAAAGGCATTTCTGGCTGGTGTACAGTTCTCTGTCCTGCTTTGGAGGACTTTACAGAAACCCTGCATGTGATGAAATTTCATTGTAATACACAACAAAAAAAATTAGTGCATGTCAAAACTGATGAAGCTCAAATAATGTTCATAGTTGGTGATATTGTAGCAATATCTATTTCCTGGTTTAGAAAACATCTTTGTTTATTGGAGATGGATAAAGAAGAGAAGACGAAGAAGGATAAAAGGAATTAGTGAGTTGTTCAATATCTGAAGAACCTTGGATAAATCAAATGCAAGTCGTGACTACGTCCCATATAACTGTTCTGTCTGTTACTGTTACCCAGGGGAACTGGATAAAACATACCCAGAAACTGTTTTGTGAAACTTGCAGTTTTTAAATTATTTTAAAATAAAAGCATTTTCTTAATGCACAATTAAGGTCTGGGGGAAACTGATATATAATTGAATTTTTCAGTCCATAGTATTATTTTTCTCAATTTATTATTGGATCTCTTTGACTTTTTTATTATGCAATTTTGTGCTTAAAGGAGTTGAATAACTTGTATAATTTATTCCTAAATGGTGGGAGCACTGTTACAGGAAGAGCCCGGGATCCGGCGTGTGGGGCTAGGGGAAAGGAACATCCTCTTCTTGGGGCTGTGAGGTAGTTTTCATGGTAGAAGTGCAGATGGTCAGCAGATAAGAGGCAAGAGGCTCAGTCAGATGAGAAGAGGGAACACAGAGACCTCAAACAAGCAGCACGGGGACTTGGCAGCATTCGGAGATGAGTGGGGACAGAGAGAGGCCATTACCGCATTTAGAAGACATGGACATGCTAAAAAAAAAAAAAAAATCCTTCCCAGCTCTTTGTAACTGCAAAGTCTAAACACAGGTCAAAGTTTTGAAAATTCAGGGTTAGGCAAAGCAAACACAGCCTCTTGCCTGAGTGTTAGAAATTTCCAAGCACGAATACAGATATGCACTCTCAGAAAATAAGGGTTTTGTTTTGTTTTACCTGATGTTTGTATGCTAGGCAAGTACTTTCCCACTCAGCCACACCCCAACCCTGGAAAGTGAGTTTTGTTTTTAAGGTACTGGGAGTTGAAACCCAGGATCTTCCCACTGAGCTACATTCCCCAGCCTCTCCAACATTTTATGTTTTAGACAGGGTCCCTCTAAGGTATCCAGGATAGGCTCAAGTTTGAGGTCTTCTTCCTCAGTCTCCTGGAGCCCTCTGATTACAGGCA